CGATGCGAAAGTAGTGCTAGCATTGGTTGTAGTCGCGATAGAGCTCTGTGTGGGATGAAGGTGAACCAGAGCGTGTACGCGTAGGTAGATGTGACGCGGTACCCACAGCAGATTGACGCAGAAGATGAGAACCATGCATGCAAGCGACCTCCTTCCTTGCCTCCACCTGCAAGAGAGAGAGAGAGAGAGAGAGAGAGAGAGAGAGAGAGAGAGAAGATGGCGTAATAGAGAGGAGGGTGTGATAGAGAGGAGGGTGTAAAAGAAGAGGAAGATGTCATAGAAGAGAAAAATGACAACCATACGAGCGAGGCTTCTTCCTTGCCTCCACCTGCAAGAGAGAGAGGAGGGTGTGATAGAGAGGAGGGTGTGATGGAGAGGAGGGTGTAATAGAGAGGAGGGTGTGATAGAGAGAAGGGTGTGATAGAGAGGAGGGTGTGATAGAGAGGAGGGTGTGATAGAGAGGAGGGTGTAATAGAGAGAAGGGTGTGATAGAGAGAAGGGTGTGATAGAGAGAAGGGTGTGATAGAGAGGAGGGTGTGATGGAGAGGAGGGTGTAATAGAGAGGAGGGTGTAATAGAGAGGAGGGTGTAATAGAGAGGAGGGTGTGATGGAGAGGAGGGTGTGATAGAGAGAAGGGTGTAATAGAGAAGAGGGTGTGGTAGAAGAAAGGTGTGATATAGGACAAATATACGAACCATGCGAGCGACCTTCTTCCTTACCTCCACATGCAACTGCAAGAGAGAGGAAGAGAGGAATATATAGTAGAGGAAGGTGTATAACGAAGAAATTGATGTAATAAAGGATGGTGTGATAGCGGAAATATATTAAAGAGGAAAGTGGGATATAGGAGGAATATATTAGACAATGAAGATGAGAACCATGCAAGCGACCTTCTTCCTCGCCTCCATCTGCAAGAGAGAGGTTAAAAATGAGTTAATTTCCACTGGAAGACGGTTTATACATATTTCAATTTCTACTAAACTATGGGTTAAAATGGTTGCATTTCAAACAGAAAATACTGTAAAAATTTACGCTCATTTATAATAGCGTTAATTTTGCGCACAACGCGCGCGTTAAAATCACACACAATGCGCCAATAACGGTAAAACCTTGCAAAAAACCGCGCGTAAAACAGTCACATTGCCTATTAATTGTTAGTAAATAAAAACAGACAGATCTATTCATGCACACGTGCCGGATACCACCACCAAAGAAAATTATCTTGGCAGTCAACGGTGACCTAGAGTCCCTCAATAATTATATAAAGGGACTCTACGCGGGGACCGAGCGAGCGTGCGAGCAAAGGGAATATTATAGATCGGATTTTGTCATGCAACATGTTGCTGGCTTGCCCGCGACCAGTTTCAACGTATGATAACGGCAGAAGAAACTTATCGTGGCAGTCAACGGTGACCGACGCACGAGCGCTATCTCCATGCACATTTATAGCATAGCCAGAATCCGGCAACGGATGCTGCGAGCAAAGGGAATATTATAGATAGGATTTCATCATATGTGCCGTACGTCGGCCCGCCCGCGACCAGTATTAACGTATGAGAACGGCTGAAGAAGATTATCTTGGTAGTCAACGGCGACCGACGTCCGTGTGCCATTTTCATGTACATTAGCATAATGCGGAAGCCGGCGCGCGATGCTGCGAGCAAAGTGAATATTGTAGAACGGATTCATGTATCAAAAACTTCAATATTGTAGAACGGAACCATGTGCACCTGTCGTCGGCCCGGCCGCGGCCAGTTTTAACGTATGAGATTGGCAGTATGTTGATGGTGGCCAATATAGCGTAGAAGTAAAAGTAGAGATCGGCCGAAGAAAATAATCTTGACAGTCAACGGCGACCGACGTCCGAGTCCGTCTGAGCGTCGTTTTCATTGTAAGGTGTATACCGTCACGTACGAGTCGAAGCCATTCTATGGGATTCTACAGGATTCACACTCAGCCTACAACCTAGGATTCCCGGCAAGCCAGGCAAGGCCACGGCTGCCAGCGTATATAAAGACCGCCTGGGATCGACTCGGGGTGCTTCATTCTACCAGACGGCCAGGAGAACCGACCGTGTAAGGATCCAACCCTTACATTTTGGCGCAGTCGACAGGATAGTAGTGGTGTGAACTGGTTCGTTGCGTACGTAGAGTGGAGGCCCTGGACAACAAGCTGTACATCAAGCTGTACATCAAGCTAAGTACCTTCTCCAGTATGGGTATCGTAAAGTGTTCGTTGATAAGCTAGGAGACGTATTGTATATGGCGCACGTAGCGTACAAGATTCAAATACATAATGTGATAGATATAGCACTGGGGTGGCGAAAGACCCTTAGGTCATCAAAGTCTGCCACCCCTGTACAGTAGGTCTGTCAGCTGAGTGTCAAGCCCGCGTGTTTGTCGCTCAGACTCGTGTATTCACTTTACTCAACACCTCCGTCGTGTTTGAGGGTTGTTTTTTTGCAGTCAGTCGCGTGTGGTAGCGAATTAGCTTTCAACTGTACTAACGGTAGATAAGGAGATAGGTACGATAGTTGTTCAGTAGGTGGCGCAGTAAGGCATGTTACAGTAGTATTATGAGTCGTGTATTTCGTTGGTTTTGGCATGTTTTGAGCGTTTGTTTGAGGTTTTGGCATGTTTGAGGCTTGTTTGGAACTCCCCCTGCGGAGTTGTTTGGGACTTCCCCCGGGGAGTTTGATGGGTCTTTTCCCGTGGGGCTAGTTCGGGTATCCCCCGTTTGGGTTGATACTGTCATTGACACTGGCGGTGCTTCTCCAACCCGGCAAGGCATTGGGTAGAAAGGGTATATTACAGTCGTACGTCTCGGGGGATCATAAGGTTTGGGATTTTCATTTGTCGGACTTACAGTTTGCTTTGAACTCCGCGAAGCATGATACGACTAGGCACACGCCGGCTGAAATTTTTCTAGGCCGTAAGTTGTGTTCTTATTTTGACCTCCAGTTGGGGGGGGGGAGGAGAGAGTTTCGAACCCGCGGTACAAGCGGAAAAAGGCCAAGCAACGGGCCGCACGGGTCAAATGTAAATACGTCCAAGTGAATGCATAACTCGGCAGGGGAAGAGCAAAATATCCTGCCAGTTATGCGCGAACGATTGTGCTGCGCTATGAGCAAGGGTAGCAGCAGCACATAACCACATGCTATGAGAAGTGTGATACGGTTGGCATTACAGACTCTCCTCCGGGACACTGCTTCGAAGGAGGGGAGAGTGTAAGGTGTATACCGTCACGTACGAGTCGAAGCCATATTCTACGGGATTCTACAGGATTCACACTCAGCCTACAACCTAGGATTCCCGGCAAGCCAGGCAAGGCCACGGCTGCCAGCGTATATAAGGACCGCCTGGGATCGACTCGGGGTGCTTCATTCTACCAGACGGCCAGGAGAACCGACCGTGTAAGGATCCAACCCTTACATCATGTACATTAGCATAGGTCGGAACTGCTATGTGGCGCGATATGCTGTGAGCAAAGTGAATTTTGTAGATCGGATTTTACCATGCACACGTGCCGTCCAAACGGTTTACAACAGTTCATACGCTCCGTTTATAATAAAAATAAGCGTTACAATGTACCGCCTCATTCGCTGGGCGGCGCCACCATGCATGCATTGCGCAAGTCTACCGTCCGACCGCCTTCGCAAAATATTATCGGTGAGAAACTGCCGGCTAGCTATATCCGTCTATATTTTGCGGGTCTCACTGTGAAAGATGTCGTCTGCCGATGTACAGAGAGAATTTGACGTGGTTATTTTCGGTGCCACCGGTTTTACCGGCCAATTTGTCGTCGAAGAAATTGCTCGCGTGGTGCAGAAGGAACATGGCATAAAGTGGGCAATAGCTGGTCGAAACAAATCCAAGCTAGAGACTGTTTTAAAACAAGCTTCTGAAGTAGTTGGTACGTAAAACTGTCCCGCCCACGGGCCACGGCCACAGGCACAGGCACAGGCTTGGAACGTTTCAATAGTAATATTATGGTAAATAATCTACTCTCTTTCAGTTTTACCTATTATTGCCGACAATTTCCTGTAAATGCCGTCCAAATGCTCATCTGCAATGCTTGTCCGTTGTCGGCAATAATAGGTGAAAGAGAGTAGAGAAATGTTTCTTAAATTTTATTGAAACGCTCCAAGTGCCTGTGCCGCAACACACGTATACCGTACACGGTACCGCACTCACGCCGCTGTGCACAAACATCAAGAATAAAGCGACTCCCACAGCGGCGTACGTATGCAAGCCAGGCGAAGATTTTCGTAGCAAATACATTTTGCGTGTATTTACCATCATTTTACTATTGAAGCGTTCCAAGTTCTTGTGGTCCCGGTCGCCCTTCTTCGCATGCAACGTCCATATATTTATGTGTACGCCTATTTTGAATATTTGGTACAAAAACACGCTTTCTTGTTTACAGGGAATGATGTCACTGGCACGTCCATCATCATTGCAGATGTTGCGGATGAGGAATCATTGCTCTCCATGTGTAGGCTCACCCGTATGATCCTAAACTGCGTTGGACCGGTTTGTATTGCAGTTGAAAGCTTGTAATTTAGTGGACACATTCCAACCTTTTGCACAGTTTTGATGCAGTCTAACCCTGTGATCAACATCATGTGGGTCAGGTGATTCATGTGTGTATCACGCACGTAGTACAGCAAGCTGGGCTTTGCAATGTAATCATTATAGTAATCGGGCGCGTAGCTAACTCATTTTGTGTGTGTGTGGGGGGGGGGGCAAAGCCACGTGTGTGGTGTGTTTTGGGGAGGTGACCGCCATCGACCACATATTGTATCTACTTTTTTTCTGGGGGGGGCAACTGCCCCTTGCCCCCCCCCCCTGCTAGCTACGGCCCTGGTAACGATATAAACATAAGAGTTTCAATACTATTTCGTATGTCTACTCCTGGTATAATCACATTTAGCTCGTATGTTTTAATGGCGAATTTAACTGGATAGAATACGAATGCCATGTTGATTCAGATGTTGACCTGTATTTCAGTATCGCTTTTTTGGAGAGCCAGTTGTCAAAGCCTGTGTGGAGGCAGGGTCCCATCACCTTGATATAAGCGGGGAGCCACAGGTAATGTGGAACGTACATATCACAATAATATATCAACAAATAGACAACGCATATATACATCTGTGAGATCATGTGGTTTTCATTATCCATACCTTCAAGAAGTTGACGTTAACCTGTAACCATGTCTGCGAGATACTACGCCTATCGATCCATGGAACGTTAGAACGTCTTATCATAGCAAAGCTTGCCTAGAGGCATCTGGCAATCATGGCAGGGAGATTGCGTGACTGCCTTTAACAATGTAGCCCAGTGTGTAATCTCACACGTGTTGTAGTTTATAGAGACGATGCAGCTGAAGTATCATGACGCGGCGCAGAAGGCTGGATGCTACATCATCAGCACCTGTGGATTTGACAGCATACCTGCCGACCTGGGAGTCATCTTCACCAGAGACGTGTTCAAAGGTATGCTGGCTATATCAAGCTAGATCCTCTCTTAACGTATTCCCGCTCATTATCTTCACTGCAGCATACGAAACGTACGTTATATATCTACTAAACCAGTTACACTACCATTGATGAAACATGCACCATGAAAAGTTTTGGGTGCTTCCTTGGAAATACAGTGTATAATTAACAAAATTTAATGTTTTTATTATGAAGGAGATCTGAACTCCATAGAGGCTTACCTCAGTATAAACACTGGGCCAGAGGCAAGTAGAATATTTACATCTTCTCGGTTATCAATCTGTAGCATTTAATATATCACAAAAGCAACTAGACATGTTTTGGAATACATGATACTTTCTCAGACTGTTTGGTTTTGACAGACAGCAAATTTTTCAACCCACTTCTCTGTGAATATTTATGTCTAATCTGAGTGGGAGAAGTTTGAAATTTATAATATATATTTAATACTTGATATCCATGTTATCATATTATAACTATACAAAAGCCTATTAGTAGTCCACATAATTAGTTTAATTACAATGAGCTATGGTTTATTCATATATGCCCGTTCCCTAGGAAAGTTCTTGTTTATGTGTTGGTTCTGTCTATCCTCATGCCAGGGAGGATCATGGAATTATGGAACGTATCAGACAGCTATACATTCTGTACCCCATACCAGAGATGAGCTACTGTTTGGCAAGAAGTTAGTTTCTTATGAAGTCCCCCCACCTGCCCATAAGGCGACGAAAAGGTAACAACGAACACTAGGTCAACGCGAACCATCAAGCATGCCTTTGCTGTTAGTAATGACACCGAAAAAGTAACAAACGCTCGCACTGGTGTAGCGTACAATGATCAGTGCTGCCGAATAGCAGATGTCATGTCTGGGGGTATGTCTGGTAAGAGCTGGGGGTGGTGGGGGGGATACAGCAATGAACAGGGAATGTAATGTTAGAGTTGTAGGAATTCCAAAATACAACAGTGAACAGGGAATTTAAAGTGAGAGTTAGAGGAATACCAAGATGCAACAATAAGCAGGGAATGTTAGGTAAGAGTGTTGGGGAATACAAGAATATAACAATAAATGGAATTTCAGGTGAGAGTGGGAGGGTGGGATACAAGAATACAACAATAACTAGGGAACATCAGGTGAGAGCAAGGGCATACAACAGTAAGTGTTGAATAGTTGTTTACTAACTGCCAAGGCATGTTCGATGGTCGCTCGATCCCATGATCTCATCTCGCGCACCTTCATTCCATTTTCTTATGCGTCTAGGGAGGCGGCGGTCACTACGCTACGTATGAGTCGGCCATTCACGGGTTTGCGTCTGTCAAAGAGTTGTCGGCACTGAGGAAAACCCTATTCGTTAAACCTCTGCCAAAGCCAGCCCACAGACTGCAGAGAAGGTACAGCCAGCATAGCAAGAGATAGAGGGGTGCTGGTACTCTGATGTGATCGGGGACGTATTCGTCCCGCACGGATGCTCGCGCCACGCACCGATGTTGCCATGGTGACCTTCATGTGTGTGATTCTTGCAGGCCGCAATTGTTTCGCGGGGAGAGGGTTGGAAGCGACTGGTGCGTTCACTTCCAGGGAGCAGATCGCTCCGTCGTGCAGAGGACACAGAGGTTCAACTACGAGCAGCTTAAAGAGCGGCCGGTACGCCCCAGTTCATAGATGTAATCGTAACGCGGAGAAGCGTGCAGAATTAGTCGACCTATTAGCCGTTCATGTGCGTGTGAGCTGACCAGGCTATATCCTCTCCAATGCGGTCGGTCAAGCGCACACAGATTGTACGTGCATATTTGGACGCCAAAGTGTTGGCTTCGCGGCACTTCGTTGTTAAGCATAGTTTTTAGAGTCTGCCTATGCCTGCACTTATTGGCTAGAGTTGTCTGTCGATCAGCCAGGCGAATATTAGGATTGCAGCAGCTCACCTGATTGTATAGTATGCTGTTATAGATACATTTGTAGTGTGGAAGCCAAGGCCATCCTTAAAAAATTATATGTTTGCTGTCCTCCGACCGACCCACGAAAATAGCCGCGACCCAAAAGTTTTTTTTTACATTTTGGGTTCCATATTTTTAACATTTTTTTACATTTTTTTTTTACATTTTTCATAATTAAGACTGAAACACAAAGCATGTGTGGCAAACATGAGGACAGACTTAAAAGAACTATTATGCCTCACAAAAAAGAAGACCTACCTACCTACCCACTAAAAAAATCATGGGTCGGAGGACAGCAAACATAGAATTTTTTAAGGATGGCCCAAATGCAAAACCAACTGTTATTGTGCATACAGGGCGTCCGATTCAGTTGTAATTACAGTGGAAGTAAGATCACACTCGGTCACGCCAACTCAGTCGGTAGCTTAGCAGTGGTTAGTACGCAGTCCGTACGTGAAATGTGCACTTGATTTTCAGGTGCAGTTCAATCCATTTGTGAGGATTTCCTCCACATTCTGGCTTGTCATCATTGCACTCATGACCACCATCTTCTCCCTGCTCGCAAACTTTAGCTTTGGAAGAAGCCTGCTGGAAAAGGTGAGCATGTTGTCTGGGAACTGTTGACACCGAGGTGTAATGGCCACGGGCACGCTGTCAGAAACAAATTTTTTCATTCCCTTAGGTGTGCAATGTTTCTGTTTACAGTATGAGAGAAAAAGTCAATGTTAAGACTGGCATTTGGAATAATTTTGTTTTTGAAAACTGGCCCCTGGATGCTATTCCAGAGAGAACGGGACACGCATTGAGAAAACGTTGGAGTTGGCTAGTCGTTTCTGCTTTTTCGTGTCATGTCGATGATAATATGGGTCAAGACGTCAAGGTTAATTGTAATTACCTCCGCCCAACGGAGTTGGAGGAGGTTATGGTTTCGCTATTGTGTGTTCGTGTGTTCGCGCGATCGATATTAGCGCGGCGGTCGATCGATATCACCCAGCGAGCCAGCGAGGCAGCAAGCATGTCGCTGGCGGAGGTATGCACTCTGTGAGTGCACTCTGTCTAGTTCATATTTGTAACAAGTGTTCCTCTTGTACGGTTTACAACGATTGCTTGTGACCATTGAAGGAAATCATGTTTATTACTTAATTTCATTATAAATAATATCATTACTGAACTATCTGTGTGAATAGCTAGAATTATATTTTATACCTGTCTTATTTGTTACAGTTGCCTGATTCTAATATAGTTCTCCTGTATATCTCTAGGCATAAGGCATGAGTGTGGCGCAGTGCCACATTAAAGCTAATTACATTATTGATGGAGTGATTGCAGTGTAGTGATTCACGTTGTATTTGGCAAGTTGACAACTCACTGTTTCTTTATTATTAGTACCCCAAGATATTCACTCTCGGATATTTCAGCCACGAAGGTCCCACGAAGAAGCAGGTTGGTTATCCTTCACTTTTGGCAGGTGTACATTTCATGTAGAAACGGTAGAAGTGCATAATAGTCAATAGTTGTTGATAATTATAAATAACAGGCATATCAAATACATATATGCACTACTGCATGGTCATCAAACGGGATTGTGTGTAACAAAACGTGGAAACAAGAAAACAGCGACAAGTTCTTAGGTTCTTGTTTTCCATGCCTGCAGATTGAGGGTTCCTCCTTCTCCTGGCATTTTGTCGGGGAGGGATACGAAACGAAGATCGCGGATCCTGACCAGCAACACGATGATAAGCCGTCAAAGATGATTGAAACACGAGTGTGCGGGCCGGGTATGTGTTCTCGACGCTCGTGACAGAGTTGCCGTACCGTTCTAGAACGTTACCGTTGACAACGTAACATTTTTTTGAAATGAAAGTATGTGACCATTGATTTATACAATGATTCGATGAATCGATTTGTACTCGATCACCGATTGATGGTCTTTCATCGAAGGTTTTGTAGATGGATGCACTGCAGAAACTATCATTTTCCTGTTATGGTTGCTCGCCGACTTCTAATAGTGCAACTGTTTTACTTTGGTAGGAATATATATTACGATTGAAGTGAATATGATGCAAGTCATCCAACTATACTCTTATTCACATCACCAGTTAGTGTTCCTGTTCATACTGCATATTGTTCATTATATTATGTCACTGTCTTTAAATATGATTGTGATTGTGTTGCGTGCACAGAGCCAGGATATGTTACCACCCCTATCTGCCTGGTCGCTGCCGCCATGACAGTTCTAAAGGAAGCCGAAAAAATGCCACTCGAGTAAGTATATGCATTATGCACCTTGAAGGACTGTTTCAGACTACTAAATGCCTGCAGCAGTTTACACGTATTTAGTTTGCCAGAGACCTGACAAAAAGGAATAATCTTTTGCCATTTTTGCATGTATGTAATGTGAAATTCCGTTTCGTTTATTCCCCTCTGCAGTGGTGGAGTGCTGACCCCTGGTGGTGCATTTAGAAAGACGTCGCTGCGTGACAGACTCACTGAGGCTGGCATGAAGTTTGAGAAGCTGTAGACGACATTGCTGGCTGGCTGTAGGCCATGTCTGTGGGCAGAGAAGGTAGAGAAGTGGGATAGGAAAGCAGTGATGGTATGGATGCAATTGATGACCCCTGCTTAATACCGACTACTATTCAGAGACAGCAGCTATATTACACAGAGAGACTTGCTAATGAATCTAGATCGGTATTACCGCTTCGGCTTTCTCATACGTTTACTAAAAGCAATTTCAGTTTTTTCAATTTCAGGACAAAAATTTTAAAAGAAATTGTATGTGGTCTGTGTGATACTGGCTACCGACTATACATTTTGATGATTCTTATTACAAATATTTTATGGTTAATGGTTAGTCTTCACTCTATATCTAGTGTTGTCTATGTTATTGTGTAGTAACCATTATTATTTGAAGAAAAAACGAGACTACTTCGTAAAATTTCTTATGCCAAAGATATTATTTTTGATTGAGTATGGAACTTTACTGCTTATACTGATCATACTATTACTCATGACAGATATATATATATTATATAAATATCTCTATTATCCACTCCTGATATAATGTTTGAGTACGAGTTGACTGCTAGTGGTTATGTCAAACCAGTGGTTAGGTTAAATTACAGAGATAAATATCTGTAGATGATGTGGAAGCACTGTAGGGCATATAGTATCATCACTCGATTATTAAAGGTGATATACATCATGGTATTAGTTCAGTGTTTAAATTTATGTATGCATGTTAAACAAAACAAAGGATTATTCAGAACGATGAATCTATTGTCTCTAATGTCTAGTGTTCCACATGTCAGACATTAACAGATTACTTAGAAATGTGAAGAGAATATGAAATTGCAGTGTTTAAAAACGAAACAGGGTAAAAATATAATTGCATAGAAATTTATAGTTGAATATGTTCTTCGTCAATTTTTATCGGCTGGACAGCTGTATGTGTTCGTTCTCATTCTCAATGTGGCTAGTACAGTAGAACTCGCGTAAGTCGACATCGTCTAAGTCATCAATTCGCGTAAGTCGACATGGAAGTCAAAGTCCCGATTCGCTCTCATAGTAAATCCATTGGAATAGCCCCGCCTAAGTCGACATTTATAAGTCGTCATTATGAACAAGTCGACGCCCTCAGACAGGTACCATGTAATACAAACAACAGTAATTTCCCATCTGTAATGCTAGCCGCACACTATACGATTTTGCACTGTGCACAGCACTGAGCCCTCGCACACTATACAACCCGCTCCCGATCGATCGGGAGGCCCCCGCACACTGTCCGACTCAAAGTTGGCGCAAACCATGGCACTCTCGTGGCGTTCCAAGCGGATTTAGCGTGTACTAAGGGTCGGGAGTGTTTTCCCGCCATTTTTACCGAATGCGGTTCCCATGGCGCTGCTCTGTGATTGGTCAATTTTCTTCAGCGCTCGGCGGCGGGTCGGATGGCCACGCACACTATCTGAGTCGCGTCGTAAGCCCTCGCACACTATACGACCCGCTCCGCTCCCGATTCAAAATTCGAATCGGCCCAAAATGACCTCCCGAGCCAAACTTAAGCCTCCTGATGGCAGACGTAAGCCTCCCAATCGCGCTCTGGTCATATAGTGTGCGGCTAGCATTAGTCGACATTGGAAATGCCGATGGCGCAGTGTACGGTCTATAGACCAGTCTTAAATATTATTCATGACCTGGGGTCATCGCACGAAAACGAGGCTAAGCTAGGCAATTTTGTAAACAATGGCTGCTCAGGCAGGCACGTATAGAGGGGGTACACGCACGTACACGCGGGTACACGGAGATACACGCAGGTACACGCACGTACACGCGCAGGGGCGTAGCCAGTATGTAGCACTGTAGGCCCGGCCCTATACTTTTTTTGGCCAAGTTATCTTTTTTTTAAACACCTATAATTCAAATCCATAAGCTTGCTGGACGAGTTTAAAAGTCTAGACAGGAAAAACTATTGAAATGAACGTAGCAAGAATGTGGCTAAATTAGGTGACCTATTCTTCTGTCATCTAGGCCTAACGCCTCATGGTTGAATGAACAACCATGGCAAAGGTACTCTGCTAGTAAAGACGGTGTTTACTGTTGTTACTGTCGTTTATTCGGTACCGGCGGTAGTGGTGAAGCGGATCACAGCCTGTGAGTGACTGGAAAAACATTTCTCTTATGATTAAGAGGCACCTAAAATGTAAGGCCCATCTAACAAACACTGTCAAAGCAGAGAGTTTCCTGTCTGTATCACTTGGTAAACAAAAAGATGTACGTAGTCAGTTGTCATCAGCTTTTTCAAAGCAAATAGAACGTAACCGTAAAATCATATCTAGCATACTCGATGTAATCATTCTTTGTGGTAAACAGAACATACCATTAAGAGGTAGAACCGAAGACAGAAGCAATTTTATGGCTCTGATCAATTTCCATGCTAAGGCTAACCCTGTCCTTGAACAGCATTTTGCCAATGCACCCAACAATGCTAAATATCTGTCACCACATATACAAAATGAATTGATTGAGCTTTGTGGAGAACAGATAAAGGATACCATTGTAAAAGATTGTAATGATTCTGTTTGCTTCGGCTTGATGGCTGATGAGGCTACCGATTGTGCAACACTTGAGCAAGTTGCAATGTGTGTTAGATTTGTACAAAGGAAAACAAACAATATCGCAGTATGTGAAGTTTCTTGGCTTCAAAGATGCGTGTTCAACTACAGGTGAAGCCTTAGCAAACCAGTTCTGCCAAACACTAGATGAGTGTGGCATCAATGCCAATAAGATGAGAGCCCAATGCTATGATGGGGCCTCTAATATGAGCGGAAAGTATTGTGATGTCCAGCCCTAGTGTTTACGTTTTGTATCGATGCTGACTCTATGTGCGCAATGTGACGCATGCGTGAGCGGACATCCGGTAATAAGAAATAAAAAGGAGCAGCGGGAATGGATTGGACAGAAACGAGGTTTTTATAATATCCTCGGAGTCTTCAACACATTATGTTTTGATATCATCCAATCAACATAACAAATAAGAACATACATTGGCGACGACGATCAATACATCAACTAAGAAGCACGTGAGTGAGGAAATGCAGCCAATTCAGCTAACAACCGCCTCCGTACGACCGTGGTGTGAATGCCGACGAAGGGGCAAATAATGTCGTATGGGACGAAATGCTGGCGGTGAACTGGAATTAACGTGTTTCGACCGCTTTGCATGAATAACGCGGTGCAAAAAGAAGGGATACTGCTGTATGTATCGGTGGTTCCGACCTCAAATGAACATGCGGTAGACAGCTTCGATCACAGTTTATGGAGCGTCTATGCCATCGCGCCTGGAAATCCCAGGGTCGTGAAGGTCAAACAGCTGTGGCAGGGTGCAGAAGGACGTTTACGGGCGATAACGCGGGCCGATCACGCTTATTTAACCCGGCGAGCCAACATGAAGTTCAAAGTACCGTCGTCAGAAAGATTAACTGTCGCAGGATAGCACCCAAGCATAGACAATTTTACTGCGTATCCTAAACAACTTGCAGAACCTCGTATTCGGCGGAGCCTCAATCATAAGTCAAGTCACAGATCATCATGGTGCGGCATAGACAAGGTCCGTACAAGGGGCTGAGCGATCCACGTAACATAGCACCCAGCTGTTGCAATACCTGCCGGAAACCTGTGAAGTGACACAGTGCTGCAGCAGCGTCCAAGGCGATCAAAAGAGGTCAAGGGGGTTAAATCTCGCTAAGCACGGAACAAACCAACGTGCATTGCAAATGTCAAAACAGCAGTCCAAAACAGCCATGCCGGGAAATTCACCACCTCCGCCATCTCAAAACCAGCTGCCAAACAGCACCTACTAAGAAGTGCCGGAATCTGGGAGGTCAGGGTGCTCACACCAAAGTGATCAAAAAGTCCGCGAGGTCAAGCCGTAGATAATGTGGAAGCAAAACCCATTTTGCGCGTATTTTTCAACGCAAGAGTGCACTAACATAATTATGGAGGGAGTTAGAAGACAACTGGAGTTTTTGTACACCTACAAGGAACATAGAAGGCCCAGTGCCGCCTCATGACCGACATTTTTGACATCAACATTGGCAAAACATACCACATCCAGACTCATGATGCGGACTCC